TCTGTTCAAGCTCATCATCACTCTTTTCCCAATGATTTTCCACTTGAATATGACTAGAACCTGGTTGGTCTTTAGGTTCTATTTCAATTACCTAGGACTTAGAAGTCCCAACAGTCTCAACACCATCATCCTCGGGCACACTAGCTTTTGATAAAACTATCATGGATTTCTCATCATAGGTCACATCTCTGCTGATCACGAACTTAAAATCTTCTGTACACCAAAGTCGTTAGCCTTTTACGCCCTTTGCATACCCTAAGAATATTGCCTTCTTAGCCCTCACGTCAAACTTTTCCTCGTTGACATGATAGTTAGCGGTACATCCGAAAATCCTAAGCCTATCATAATCTGCATGCTCCTCTGACCATACCTGATAGGGTGTATCACCATCCAATGTCGAATGTGGAGACCAATTCACTACGTAGCAAGCTGTAGCAACCGCTTCTGCCTATCATTCTTTGTCTAAACTAACTTTATGGACTTATCATCCTATTGTAGATGATTGATAAGTGGGTTGTCATATGATCACATACTCATTGCTTTCTCCTGCAATGTACGGTTTAGTCTCTCTATGACTCTATTCTGCTATGGTGAAGACCTGACTGTCGAGTGTACAGCAATACCCTCTTAATCACAGAACTTCTTAAAAGCACCATCTGTATACTCTATACCATTATCAGATCTTAGTGTCTTTAGTTTTCTACATGTTCTGTTCTCAACCATTGCCTTCCACTTCTTGAATGTCTCGAATACCTCATTCTTATACTTAAGAAAATAAATCCAAGCATACCTAGAATGATCATCTATGAACGAGACAAAATACCTAGAACCGCCCTTGGAAATTATCATAGCCGGACCCCACACATTAGTGTGTATATAGTCTAATATACCTTTGCTCTTGTGATTGCTTTTCAAGAACTGGACCTTGTGCACCTTCCCGTACATACAATTCTTACAAAAGTCCATGCAATGTTTCTTCATGTTCTTCCAGCAAACCTTCTTTACCAAGTAGATCTAGACCCTTCTCTGACATATGCCCAAGCCGTCTATGCCATAACCGAGTGTGCTCACATGGGTCTCCACCACTTTCTTCAGTTCTAACCGCTGCATCTCCTGTCACCGTCATACCCGAGAGAGTATATAGGTTACCGTGAAGAACATCCTTGATCGCTACTAGGGAACCTCAAACAACCTTCTTTACTCTGTTCTCTGTTACTATCTTACAACCACCAGAGTCTAAAACACTAACTGAGATAAGATTCTTCCGTAAGTCCTGAACGTGCCTTACATCCGTCAGGGTTTTGACCACTCCATCATGCATCTTAATTTTAATATCGCCAAGCCCTACCATTTTACAAGCATGATTATTCCCCATTAATACGGTTCCACCATCAATGCTTCTGTACGTAGTAAATCACTTTCTATTTGGGCACATATGGTAAGAGCAACCTGAATCAAGAATCCACTTCCCGGAGATATCTTCACCACCCGTAACGACATAACATTCTTTATCACTCCCTTCTTCCGAGATGTAACTTGCCTCTTTCTTGACTTCTCTCCTTTGGGTTTTATTGTTGTTCTTCTTCCTATCTACTCTCTTGTTAGGAAAGTCAACTTTGAAATGCCCTAGCTCACCGCATTTGAAACACGATCTTCCCGTAAGAAGTCTCGCTTTTCGATCTAGACTTTCCTCCCTTGCCTTTTCCTCTCTCATTACCCCTTTCCCTTACAAACAATCCTTGTGCTTGCTCCTTGTATCACTAGTGGCCATATCACTAGTTGTAATTTTCCGAAGATCATCCGCCAGAAGAGCTGTTCTAGTCTCATCTATTTTCAAATTGTCTCCTACAAACATCAATGTTTGTACCAGGTTCTCATAAGACTTCGGTAAAAGAAGAAGTAGCAGAAGTGATTGATCCTCATCTTCTACTGTTACATCAATGCCCTTCAAATCCGATATGATCCTATCAAACTTGTTGATGTACTCCTGAATTGATGAGCCTTCCTCCATCTTGAAAGTATACAATTTGGATTTCAAGTAGATCCGATTTGTTAAACTCTTCATCATGAAGTTACTATCTAACTTTGTCCACACGCCCGCAACCGTTTCCTCTCCATCCACCAAGAAAGCAACATCCCTCTTAAGGCATAATAGGATAATCGATGCTCATGTTTCGAGATCTAACTCTTCCCAATCCCAATCTGACATATCTTTGTGCTTCTTCTCTTTTCCTACCAAAGCGTTGTGCAATTTCTGTGAAATCAACGAGTTTTTCATCTGCATCCGGTAATAGGAAAAATTATTCTTCCCATTAAAAATTTCAAGCTCGTACTTTCCCACTTTAAATATTTTACTTGTAGACGTCATTCTCCGCTTGTTTTAGTAAACCACTTTTCTCAGGAATTCTAACAAATATCTTGTGTGCACCACACAATACCCAAAACACCACCTCAAATCGGAAGCTTTACCACTGCCAATCTGATCAAGGGCTCTGATACCAATTGTTGGGCGCAGATTCACGTCCTCACGTCGTGGAAGCGATATAACCAGAGAGAAAGCCTTGGCTTTTGTTTTCACAAAAGCTCAAGACAACATCTATATTCCCGTTTTACAAAGGAAACAAGAACAAAAGTAATATATCTCAACAATGTGAGATATACACTCTTCTCAATATTTGATCTAGGTCTAAATATCGGGGAAACCAACAAGTAATAGCCAACACCCAGAGAACAGTAAAGACACGAGATTTACGTGGTTTGGCAAACTTGCCTACGTCCACGGGAGGGGGTGAAGAGAGATTCCACTATGAAGGAGAACACCAACGACTTATACAACCCACAAGCTTGTCCCAAAGAAGAAAATTTGATTTTTACTCAAAAGAAATTGACCTCTCTCTTGTAAAATGTCGCCAAAGCTCTCTCCTTTTATCTCTCTTCAAGATCTCTCCTTCTCAGATCTAAGTCTCTGAAAAACTGCTCAAAAATAGTCGGCAAATATCTCCTAAAAAAACCCTAAAGAGGACGTTCATATTTATATCAAACTAGAAATCCAAACTGGGCCCTAAAAAACCGCATGCGGCCTCAAGTTAGAGACGCTCGCACGTGTGCCGTCTCGCGCAGGGCCGTGGGTCGTTCACATAAATATTAACAAATTTTTCAAAAAGCAAAAAACTTTCAATTACACAGATTTGTAGTACAATTCTTCTTAAAGAAAAAAGAAATCTCTTTATTGATTTTCATGGATACACGAGTACATTAATATAGGTGATGATAGGAAACCTGATAGAAAAGTCTAAATAGTACTAGGTAGGAAAGGAGGAGGTATATGCACTACCAACTATTCATAGATACATTACCAAATATAAAAGATCGCAATAACATAAATTATTTTCTTTTATATTTAACAAATTCATCATCAATTAATAGAAAACATAACTAAGTACTTTTCTTCTGTGCCTAATTGTTTGCATTAAAGAAATACCGTGAAGGTATCCGTGAAAAGCAGAAGCCGGCAACAAACATGTACTTGGATGCGTTGTATTTCTCCCCAATTGCATGAAGGTTTGTAACAGCACCACGGCATAAGATCCTAATCAGATCATTGACACATTCATACAACTCATGCGATTGATATTGTGAGTAATTAGCCAGTGTCACGGACCAAGGATGCTCCTTCGGCTGAATCATGTAGTTAGCCAGGAAAACTGAGGCAGCTGCAATCATAGACGGATAATAACGAAGCATGTGGTATTCAAGAAGTGATAGCTCTGAAATATAATTTGCAAGGAACTCCATCAGTTTTGTTCCACGAGCAACATGTACCAATTCGCTTATAAAGCACCTGGCAGTCGGAGCTGTTAATTCAAACCTTAGGTGCTTTAAAACATCAATTTCCATCTCTAAAACCGCTTCTTTAGAATATTTGTCATCAGTCTTCTCACAAAATTCTTTGACATCTGGAAAATCACTCTCTTCATGCTTGGAAGCGATCAACATGCAAGTAGCCCCGAGTAATTGGAGTTGGTGGCATTTTATGTTGTTGCCAGAGAGATAACGATCCATGTAATTGACAGTCAGATGTAACGTCTCTGGCCCAAGATCGAGTTCTTCTGCAACTTGCACGAGCCAATCGATGGCGATTGCACGCATGTCGAGAGTGATGTGTTTCTGAACTCTTTCGAAGAAGTCTGTACGGGGCCTTTTCTTGGTTTCCGTTGCGCGCAGGTTTTTGTAGATATCCTGCGGAAGGCTGCTAACCTCTGCAGTCAACTCTCTTGCATCAGTCATTGTTGAAGAATCAAGAGCTTTTGCGGGCTGGGGATTGATGGGGAGTATCGAGGCCATCTGCACTATTTTGTTGGTTGATGGCTGCAGATATCTTTGCATGTTTCTAGATAAGCTCTCCACCTGCGACTAGTATTTGGATATTGGACTTCTATTTCTAATTGAATTCGAAAAAGGAATAGAAAAAGGGACTATAAGCGAATAACTCCTGTTTGTACTTAAATTCTAGTTCTCCCCAGACCAGAATTCTGACGCTTAACAAGACACGTCCCCAAAGCTGATAGGATTTTTGGTTCCTGTTTGTATTGGGATAAAATTCATCAGAAGAAACCCTTCAATCTCCAAGAGACACATATTTTCGCAGTCCACGAGACGCCTGTTTGCGCTCCAAGGAACCTATCCCTTCATATAAGATCATGTACATTTTGTTATCTACATATTAATACCTTGCATAACGTAGTTAGCTAACAAAGTGGGTCAATGAACCACAAATGTCAACCAGAAACTTAAAATATCAAAGGAGAACAAAAGAAGAGGATTGCTTCGGTACAATAAAACTAGACATTTTTATAATTTTAACATGGTAGAAAATTTAAAAATCATATCATATCATACTCTCTTTAGAAGCATGAATTCGTGAAAATCTTTCAGTAGAAAAAAATACCCTTAGAATTCAAATACTAATCTATTAAGTAAGAGTAAGTTAATAAATTGATGAATTCTTATTGGATATACATAGTATAAAGATAAGGATATAGTTTAAATCGAAATGTAAACCTGAATGAAAGAGCAGCTTAGCTAAATTAGACGATTTATTAAATGCCAAATTACCCCCTTGCTCTTATATGTGATCAACGTTCAAACTGTATACAATTATTCACGTGCTACATGATTAATAATTATACGCAACGTGACGATCTCTTACCGACTAAAGTTCTAGTTTGCGGTAAGCTTAGGTAAATTAGAAGATTTGTTAAATGCCAAATTTACCCCCCTCACTCTTATATGTGATCAATGATTAAACTGCAAACAATTATTCACTTGCTATATGATTAATAATGCCAAACTGTGAACAATTATTAGATTTGATTAAATTATTTTAAAGCAATTAATTATATTGTATGTTTGATTTTTTTTTCAGATCAAGAAATTGCAATAATTTTCATAGCATTTTCATCTTCTTCAACAAGTATGTGCATTTGTTATTTTCTTCTTATTAGATTAGATTAGATTGTTTAAAGTTTATGAATTATAAAATTATAACAACTTTCACAGTACTTTTATCTATTTTTTTCTTATTAGATTAGATTAGATTATTTTAAAGTATTTAATTATATTGTATGTTTGATATTTTTTTGGGTCGCAAAGTTTAATTATACTATTATTATTTAAATAAATATTATTTGTATAACAGTCAAAGAGAATCTCACACATTTTTTAAATCTCAATGCCAATTATAATACTTATATATTTTGGTTAAAGTAAATTTCATGTATGGAGTTAACTTATATGATCATATTTTAATCGGATTAGATAATTTAACATTTGTTCTTTACACCCAAACTCTTTTACAAAACCAAGAGTTTTTTAAAATTAATCTTGGGGGTTACTTGTATTGAAAAAATTATGTTAGAATGCCCTTACAGTTTGTTTTATAGTTTAAGATTGTCAACATATTTTGTCTCTTATGCATATTAATTATAAGTAATAATATAATTTAATTAATCCAAGTATATCCTAATATATATCTCGACTCTTGTCTTATCTTTTGCTCTTTATTATGTACAAACCTAACGATTCTTATTTAATTCCTTCTTTTTCCTTTTTTGTCTCTTGACATTATCTTTTGTTCTTCGTTATGTACAAACTCATTTCATGGATTACGGTTATGATTTTCGAGGGGGGAGCAAAAGACAAATAGGTTGATTTTGGTGTTGACTCTATTATTTGAAGAGATTAATTTTAAGAAATCCAACTCCAACATGATATCACAGTTAACGTAGATGATGAAGACGCTACCCTAAAATTATTTAGGAAAAATATAAAGGTGGAAAAAGATTGATCTCGACTCAATCAAAATATGAAACAAAAAGAATGAATTATAATATTTTTTTCGACATTTTATATCATAACTTAATTTTTGTGTAAAATTAGGAATTCTTGGAAGGAATTTTTATGCAAAAATTTTAAGATTTTTGTATGCTTATGTGATTGCTTTTATTAAATAAAATTGTACTATAGTTACCATTAATTTTTAGTTTTTATATTTTTATTATTTTAAGTCTATCAAATAATGTAGGCTGGGATCTAATATATATATCATGCTTGTCGTACTTCTTTTTATGTTTGCTTTTGAGATTGTTTATTATAAATCTTGAGCTTATAATGTTGAAAAGTGTTATGTAGTTCTATTTTCAATGCAATAAGAAATGTTATTTCTTTATTGATAGAACTATAGTTCATAATGATATTGTTATTCATCCTTGACCCCATACTATAACTTGAGGTTAGTAAAGTTTAGAATATGACATGTAGTATTAATTTAATATAATTTTTTTACTATTCTGCTTGAATATATTATTATATCAATTAATATCTTTATCTTAGGAAATCAACTATGATATCTGAGTTAAGTATATTGATTCTAGTTTAACACATAAATCCATTAGATCAATTTTTTTCATAATGTTTAAACAAAAATTATAGGGAAAATGTGTCCAGGCCCTAAAATGAGAAAGTTCATGTGACCCGTCCCCTTATATTTTGGCCCATGTGATTCAGCACCAAAAAGTACCATTTAATATTTCAAGGCCCCTCCACGTCAGCAGTATAAAAAAGGAGATTGTATTTTGAAAAAAAAACTTGAAAATACCCCTCCACTTATCTTCCCCAGACGTCTGGTCCACAAAATACATGGAAAGTCACACCCATTAATGCGATCTGATAGAAAAAATAGAGGGAAATTTCCCGCCCTTTTTTGAACTCTATCATGAGCAATAACTCATGTTAGTTCTAAGTTATTTAATGTTAGTTCTAACTTATTTTATGTTAGTTCTAACTTAGTTCTATTTCATCTAGTGGTAAACCTTATTTTATATTAGTTCTAACTTATTTTATGTTAGTTCTAACTTAGTTTTAATTCATGTTAGAGCTAACTTTAAGTAGAACTAATATGTTTATACCATGTTATAGTGGATATGTTAGTTCTAGTTGAGCTCATGTTAGTTCTGATAGTTCTCGTATTAGTTCTAGCTGATTTCATGTTAGTTCTACTTTCAGCTAGTGTTGGTTCTAATATAAGCGTTAGTTCTAGTGGCTACTTCAAGAGATATACAATTCGGGGAAGTTCCTATTAGCCATAATGCTTCTTGGCTTTGAAACAACTTCTTAAAGTTAGAAGTTGATAGATTGCGAAAATTTGGCATGATTTTTTCTCACATAACTTGTATCCTATGCAACAATGGTTATGCATTATATTTCTCATTTGTTCTTTCGATGCCCTAATGCCACCTGTTTGGATTCAAATTATGAACTGAATAGGTTTCTCTTCCTGAACTTGTGATTGGAGCTAGTCGCTTGGATGGTTTTTTACTCACCTCAATAGGTGATGGTATGATAGAATTGTGAAATGCTTTGGCTCTACTATTTATGCTATTTGGTGAGAAAGAAATCAAAGATTGCATGTTGGCTCTGCTTTGCAAATTAATCAAAGGCTTAATGGCAACTAGATAATGGTTTCATTCTTGTAGCACTTAAATACTCTATGCTACAAAATGTAGCAAAAAAAACCATGAGTTGGAAGCTGTTTGAATTTGGCTGGCGTAAAAACCTCAAATGGACAATAATTCCCCTCCATTGTAATTAAACCCCCATACGATGAAAACCCTTATTTTCTACTGTTACACTATCCTCTTCAAAAATCCCCAAATTATGTAAGGCCCCAAATTTTTAAATTGAATTATATATTAATTAAGGGGATTTTTGCAAAATATATAATTATTTCTCCTCAATATGGTGGAAATCTTATAAAATATAACTTTATAAGAATGAGATTCATTAATTGGACTTAATAGTAAAAGATATTTGCATATATAACTCTTAGGTTATTAGAGTAAAAGAAATAATAATCATAATATTTGCAAATAGGCCCAATACCTATAAGAATCCCAGATTCCTAGGGTTTCATTTCTTTTCCTGAAATGTAATTTTTTATAGAAAGAGTTCTGTAGCACTGCTAAAAAATTAGGCATCCTAGACGGAAAATTCCGTCTAGGATACACAGAATTCCGTTTAGGATGCATATCCTAGACGGAATTCAATCTAGAATACCCGTCTAGAAAGTTTCCGTCTAGGATGTATTATTCTAGACGGAAATTCCGTCTAGAATACATCCTAGACGAAATATTCTAGACGGAATTCAAAACCATCTAGAATACATCCTAGACGGATTATTCTAGACGGAATTTCCGTCTAGAATACTGCATCCTAGATGGAAAAAATTTCCGTCTAGAATGAGTATTCTAGACGGAAATTTCCATCTAGAATACTCATTCTAGATGGAAATTAATGTTTTTTAATTTTTTTTATTTTTTATTTTTAAAAAAGACATCCTAGACGGAATTTATGCATCCTAGACGGAATTTCTGTCTAGAATGCCATGCTACAGTTGTTGTTTTTTTTTTTTACAGAACCTGCTTTGGGTGCATGTACACAATATTAAACAACAAAAAATTATATTCATATCCAACACAATCTAATTATATTCCAATATCAAATCCCATTATATTCAAATAATACATTCACCAAAATAGTGTTTCCTTCCATGTTTATGACTTTTCAAGATAAAGACCGATCAAAAGAAATGTGCAGTAAATATTAATACCAAAAGTTTACATGCAGGAGGGATTTAACAAGAAATAACTAAGAATACATAGAAATTTGAACTTTAGCTGTCAGAACATTGTTCACATTGGTCACTACCTTGAAGAGGAAGCTAAGTTGAACAAATAATTCATCAAATTTTTAGCTTCTACAATTGAACGGACTTGATTCCAACGACC